CACCAGGTTGCTGGGAGTGTGGCATGAAAAACTGGTAAAGGAGAGCAACTGAAAGCCACTCTTTTTTGGCAAGTGGCTTTATGGCTTAATGTACTTTTTCCTCCTGTTAATGAATTATGGAAAATGATTTGTTGTAAAAACTAAAATACACTGAGGTCGAGTTCCTAGATTTTTAGAAAAAGGTAAGGATATGCATGACTTCTAGTTCACCCAAACTATACATGATTAAGCCATTCACAACAAATAAAAGAAGTCCAACTTAACATACATTAGTCTGCATAGAACAAATAGTTACTGGCCTTCTAACATACATTGAATACTTGATTAAGCACTGTATACAAACTTTATAACCCTCTGGGTACCTATAATTTGCCCAGGGGAAGAAATGCATATGATCCAACCAACAAATAATGCAAGAGCGTAGAATCTAATGGTATACCCAGGTTGATACCAAGTCATTGCTACTAATAACTGAATTGATATTTAGAATTTACTTGAGAGCCATGTGAATCCTTAAATCCCAAATCATTAAAGCTGCTAATACTTGTCACACACTAGTTCATCAATTTCAGAGTCACTGCTATTCTTCAAACCACTAAGATGAGAAAATCTTGAAGCAATCTTGAAGATGCAAAATATGTCTAGAAATACCCATTTCAGATCAATTTAGACCCAATAAATAATATTTTTAGCAGTTATAATTTCTACAGATGTGGGCTGAGATTTATGGTTAACCTGTTTTCCAGTTCAAAATGAAGAAGAAGTTTAACATTGGAATCTTTTAACATATCTTTACCAACTAAGATGACACAGTCCAAGTACATTCAATACATTTTTCTCTGATATATTCAAACTGGCTTTGCTGATAAAATTTCTTTGTCCCCAGTCTTTTCCTGTATAAGAAAGGAATTGTTCACATAATTCAGACAATTCCTTCCCACTACTATATCACTCCAGCGACATTTTAAATAACCATAATGAATCCGATGAAATCAACTGGTTTTTTTGACATAATTATTCAGACAATTATCTCAACCCTCCATTTCACTTTGCCTGTGAGGTTAAGACCTTAAAAGACTTTCCAGGCAGAAACAGCACTAAGTAAAATATCTACAAAATGAAGGAAGTCACAGTATTTCACTCCAAGGCCCCCCCACATCAGTCCAGGGTAAATGGACATTTAATGTACAAAACTAGAAATATGGAGGTTCCTCATTTTGTTTGTTAAAACGGTCCTGTTTTAGAAGTTTTCTTTTCCTACTTGAAAAGTATTCATCCTAGGATGTAAAATAAAGTGAACTCCTTCCATGTATTTATGATGATCTGATTTACATACAAGGTTTTAAGAATAGTATTGAGTTAAAATAGAATGATACCTTAAATAGGTATTTATTCCAAGATTTCTGCTAATACCTTCTGCCTAAATTATCTATGTAGCTCAAAAGGAAGCTGGACTGAGGTTAAACCCAGACCATCCCTCCTGTCCTACTTCCCCCAAACAATTCCCAATTCCCCCCTCACACTGTGCGGAAAGGCCTGCTGAAAGAGGAGATAGTACCATCTAAAATTACCCTCCTAGGTACTCTTCAGCATCTCCACAATCCACAATCAAGAATCACTGTGAGCAACTTGCAAATTTACATTCTAAAACCCAGTGGTACAGCTACCAATAGGACCACATCCCTCCTCAATCTTTGTCTTTTTCTTTCAACAGGAAAACCGTATGTTAATGGAGAGATTATTCACAGAGTCTCCTTGTAAAGCCATGAATGCCACTTCACAGACTAGAGAAAGCTGAGCTCTATGAACCATACAATGGAGTCAACTCATCTTTTTTAAAAGCTCAGCATCACCCTTAAAGAGAACTTACATTGTTCCAATTCCCTGGTCTCTGTTAAAGCATAATGAGTCCATGCTTTCTGCCACTGTGAGTCCTTGGCACACACATACTCAGAGCCAAGTTTACTGCACAGAGGGTAGGCACGTTGAAAATCAGAATCTAACCTTGACATTGGGTTAAATACTTAAATTTTTCCAACTGTTCAATAAGACCATCTGTGTATTCTGAAGTATATTCTTCTGAGTATCAAAAGTAAGTACCTTTAAAATAAAACACCTAAATACCAAGGACCCATACAAGATGTAATCTAAGAAATTAAAATTTAGCAAAATGCCAAACATAAAGAAATGCTCAAGATGCTCTGTAGACTCTCAGTATCCTGTGAATTGCCTTTTTAAAAAAAAGGGCTAAAGGAAAAAGGCATGTTTACTAAAAAACTTAGAAAATTGGGGAATGAGTTACTGAAGAAAACATTCTGTTCAACCACAACATGGAAAACTATACCAAAATTAAACGTTTAGGACTCCTGAGTCGCACAATCCCAGGTGCACTGTGATCTACGTAAATGGCGCCTCCTGGAGTAGTGCTTACAGGGTCCCCACACAGGCACAGTGCGACAAGTGCCCCCAGGAGTTAAACAAAGTGGCTGCAAGTTTTTGATAATGCAAAAGGCACTTTAGGATTCATGACAGAATCTCCAAATTACTGTTGCGAAACATTATCATTTTAGGGTATGTAAAATGTCTAGATACTGAATCACTCTGTTTTTGAATTCTGGAATGAGTCTACTGGTTAATTTCTTTTACTGGAATTAGCGAGCCAATTATAAATTTGTATTTGGGAGGGGGGCTAAGGGAGAAAAATTGGGACAACCATAATAGCATAATCAATAAAATATAATTAAAAATAAAAAATATATTACTGAGCAATAAAAAACAATAAATAAATACATTTGTATTCAGAATAAAAACTTTACTAAATAGGCTAAAAACACTGACATTAGATCCTCTTTAGTGTTTTAAATTGTGTAAATGCAATAACATGTTGAACAGAAAGGGCATTTAGACATTATCTAGAGGAGGCCAGGTGTTCAATCTGCTTCTCCAGCAGCAGTTTCTTTCTACTGAAGGTGAGCTAAAGTCTTCAAGGAAGCCAATTACACATCAGCAAAGTAATTTCAGTTTTAATCAAGGAAAGAAAATAACTTCATTTTGCCAAAAAGGAAGAAGTAGAGGCACAAAACACCTCTAATATGAACTTTTGAAAAACACAATTGAAACACTTTTTTTTACACTTATATGTACAAAGAGTTTTAAGAGCCCAGACCTCCCCGGAGTAAGAGAATTGCTAGAAAGTTACTTGGAATCACCCACAGACAATAACTGTCGGTGGTTTCATTTCAGGCAATGGGCTTGCGCCAAACGGGACTGACATCTTGATGAAAGGATCACCAAAAAGTTGTGAGAATTTTTCCACGAGTAAAAATCCTTCCAAGAGCAACAAACTGTGATTTCTCATTCTGCCCCCATATATAAACGACAACTGTAGAAAATTAACAACATGTAATAGTAATTCCAGTTTGCTCTTCTGCATTCAAATCATTCCAGCTCTCATTCTCGGCTCTGGCACACCAGCTTGCTTTCTGCAGAGCTCCTTCCACTCACTGTTACAGAAACACGATATTTTTACTCTTTGAACTTGATCTATAGGGCTAGTTTTGGCAGGGTCAGCAGTCAAACTTATGTTTAACCAAACTGGTCACCTGACATACTACAACTATCTGTGCTGACACAGAGAGTAAGGTTCTGGGATAAACAGCTGAAAGGTAAGGTGCTGTGGCGAGTCACAATAAAAGATAATTAAAGAAAAAACAAAAATACTTTGCAGCAGTTCACTATGTCACCCACCATCCTGTTACTCTGGGACAACGGCTAACTAGGAATGCAATACGCGGTCAGGAACCATTGCACAAAACCCACGATCAGTTAATTTTTTGTTCATCCCTTTTGCTCTTCCACCTCAAGTTTCCTAATTGGATCATTATCAAAGTCCGAGCAGGAGCTGTTTTGTTGGGTGCTTCGAAATCCACCTGTTGAAATGGCCAGTGAGGTACACACGGAACATAGCGAGCCCATTTGGTAACTGTATTCCAACTGAGCTCATTTCATTGCTTCTGATTCATTTTTCTCCTTGGAAGTTTATAGTTGGGTTGTTCTCAAAGAAAACACCAAGTATATCAGATTCAATTCTGATTCAGTAAAATCCACCCTCATTTAAAAGGAAAAACTAAAGCTAAATTTGGAAGTCGCACATTAGAAGGAGCAAAGAGGTGTTTCAGGGTATAAACATCTGCACTAGAACACGCTGTACCTCTCCGGAAAGTTTCATGACAGCTCCACTTTTTTTCAGTTCAACTTTTTTCACAAAGGAAATTTTTCATAGAAAATTGATATACTTATTCAGCTGCATTTAATGTGTATTTCAGCTAATTCTTCATTTAATCAGCCATCAAACACTCCACTGCCTTCTCTGGGGATCAGGATGCTGGTCAGAAATAGTTCCACTTCCATGCAGAGGGTAACAGGCTTGATTTCTAAAACTGAGTGGGTGTGCCTCACAAATGAAGGTTATACATAAACAGAATAATGCTAATTACATTTTAGACCCAGTAGACAGTGTGGATTAATAAGAAAAGCCCATGTTCTTCATATATATTGCCCTTAAGGATAGCAGATATTATAATAATTTGATAGCTGGATACAGACCCCTGGTCCGTGGATAAGTTCTGTCTCCCTCCGATGTGAGCCCCACCACTTTGTCTGAGCCCTACTGCGGTCACCCGCTCCATGCATGTCACAGCACAGCACTCTGCTTAAAGAACAGAATGGTCTCTGAGGTTCAAGTGAGATAAATCTTCCCTTCTGAAAAAGGAATGTCAGTATTCTCTTCGACATGACTGAAAATCAAAAGATCTAACCCCACATCCACTTCATACAAATTGCTGCACTGCAAAGCTCCCACATGCGGGAGACAGAACCTTTTAAAGGTCAGACGGGGTAGAACAATGAAGGGTTGAGGCGGGATGAAGGTGAGTGGTTGGTATTTATATGGAATGAAGGCGGAATAAGACTGATAATCTCCTCTCATGACCAATTCTTACCATTTTGAGAATCATAACAGTCTTGGTCGTGCACCCTCCCTCTCTTCAGTCCAAGGAGACCGACCTGCAAAATATGTTTAAACACAGTGGGCGAATCGCCTCACCCCAGGTCAGCACATGAAAAACGCCTGTCTACAGGTTACAGACAAATAACTATTTTCTGTGGTTAACATAAGTTGCATGCAAATTACTGTTATTACTGGGGCTTCTGAAAGAGCTTCCCAGACAGTTTATAGGCTGAAATAGGGGACAAAGGAATCCTTGGTACCTGGCTTTGCAGAGTCCTGGGCTATTCTTAGTGTTTGGTTCATTTTTAAATTGCAGTTCAAAAGGTTTAGCAACTTAAAAGTAGAACCAAGTGATAAAAATAGATTGTTTTCTGGCTGCTCTTTGTTCCCAGACATACTACTGGCAGTATATTTGCAATCAAGACAGCAGAATAGGAATCAGCCTTCCACCGTGTAGTGTAATGCCTCAGAGTGGATATTTTTGGAAATGGCACTGCATTACATAACCTTCCGTGTTTAAAAAAAAAAAACACTACACTGGGGGGGAAAAGTCAGGAATATACACCATTATGCCCTTCTCCCTAAACCAAATCAACATTAATGTACATGCGGCAGTGATTTCCCTCTCAACCTTTGTCATCGGAATACAATTCTTTTGTTCACATAAGTTATGACAAAAATTAACATGAATGGAGAAACTAAAAGTTCTCAAAAGGGTATCATAAAGTCGTAGAGTTTTCCTGTTATTATACATACATATAAATGCAAATCAGATTATCATCATCAAGCAAAAAGCAGTCATTTGTTTTTAAGCCCTCCCTCTTTCCCCCAAAGTTCAACTGCTTTACAATAAAATGCAGGGAAAAAGTGTTGAAAGACTGAATGCCCCAAAAGACCCTTGGCGGCAACAGCAGCGCTGAAAGAGTAATAAAGTGTAAGAATGGAGGGACACCAATTCATTTGGTAAAGGGGGGAGGGGTGCATGCACCAAAGTGCATTTAATGCAAAGAAACAAAACAGTTCCTAAACAATGCTTTATCAGCAAGAACAAAAATTGATCACACCAACAAGAAAAAAAAAACCCACCCCCTGCCCCAAAGAATTCTACCTCTTAAGTTGTGCATTTTTTTTTAAAGCCCAAGTTAAATGCCAGCCTTAATGCAGCAGGACCAAAATGCCAGAATTTCTCCAAGGTACACGTTTCAGCTCTTTAAAATTTAGAGGGAAGAAGCATGAACTCTGCAGGGTTGAAGGGTCCAGCTAAGAGCAAAGGCAAGAAATCGACACAAAAGAGAAAGCAGCGCTCCCGGCCGGGGATGGGAATGGCATATACTTACAGACAAAAGCCCCGCTCCCTGTTCACTCTCTCCTCTCTACACCTGAAACACAAATGTGGATGAAAAAGGGCATCATGCTAGAAAGACAGCTGGGGGGAGGGGGGAGGGGAAAGGGGTGGGGGAAGAGGAGGGAGGAGGGGGAAGGGGAAACAAAACCCAAACCGCCTTCACTTCCAAGAAGTGCAGCCTTGGAAAAAGAAGGAGGGGAAGGTCTTCCTGCCTCGTGCTCTCTCTTCAAGAGTGTGTGTGTGTCTCTCTCTAAGACAGTCTCTCTCTCTCTCCCCACCTCTTTCTCTCCCTCTCTCCGCTGCTAGTGTGCTAGTGAACAATGAGCTAATTCTGATGGGGCTGGCGCGGCGCCAGCGCCCCAGTCTTGCTGCCACTGTGCTGCCTCGGCGGAGCCAGACTGCTTACTCGGCAGGAATCGGCGACTTGGGGCCCCGTCGGCAGGCGGCCAACGTGCGCGCGCCCCGATCCCCCGCACCCACGGCACCCCGCGCGCCGCGTCACCCCCACTGAGCCCGCCAGGCCCCTGAGGGACAAAGGGGCCCCGCACTCGGCGCACCGCCCCGGCTCCGCCCCCGGAGCACGGGCTCACACACCCGGCCCTGCCTCTCCCGCCCCCTGAGGGCTTCTCCGCCTCGACGTGCGGTTGCTTTTCAGACAAATAAGGAGGTGGAGGAGGCGGTTTGGGGGCAAGCCAAGCGTGAAGGCGGCCAGGGCGCTGCACAGCCCGGCGGCCAGCCAGGGCCGCGGGGAGAGGCGACGCGGCCGTACTGTAATAATAAACCTGCAGCAGAGGGCATCTGAGGGAAAGAGGACGCGACGGGCGGCAGCCGCCTTCCCTTTTATGTTCCTGTCCCGAGCGAAGCAGAAAATGGTGCCGATGGCGGCAGCGACACACAGACACACAGATCCAGGGCCGCACGCGTTTGCGCACGGCCCCGGGTGGGTCCCACCGGGTACGCGCGCCCCGCTCCCGCCCACGAGGAAGCCCAGGGCGAAGCAGCCCCAAAGCCGGGCCCAGAAGCCTGTGGCTGCGCGCGCACACTCGGGCACACACTTGGGCACACTCGTGCACCAACTGCAGGAGCTGCGACTGGTGTGATCAGCCCGAGACACACTTCCCTGGTAATCCCTTCTCCTTTCCTCAAGGATTTAGCTTGTCCCCCACACCCTGCCCCGCTGAAATAGTACTTTTTAAAACTGGAGAGTGCTTTTTAAAAAAGTGCTTTGCATTTCTGATTTTTAAAAAAGTCATCTCTTATTTAAAATTTCTTTTCATAGTAATGTAAAAGACCAAAATTTTGCTATGAACTTGAACAAACTGATTTTGTTGCCAACAAAACAGGATATTTTACAGTGTCAGATGTTAAAGAGGAAGATTATTTTCCAATTAAATTGCTTTGCCAAGATAAAAATGTATAAAGAACTGAGATGTCTTCTACATTTGCCATCCACATTTTACTTCTAGTCACTAAAAGCAATGCTTTCTATTATAATGGTCAAAAGAAAGGGGGGAATTTACAAAAACATGCTTATAGAATATCTTACTTTTTAGATTTTAGTAATTTTGGGGTACAGAAATAACACACCTTAAAAAGCAATCTTTTACACTCTTAATTCTAAAGAATAAATTCTCTACTCGCTTGTTGCTAGGACTATGTAGATCTCTCTCACACTGTGAAAGCCAGTGCAGCAAATACTTACTAGACAGTCAGTGTGTGTTATGTTTTAGGGGCCTGCTGGGAGCTTCCCTGAATTAATCTAAAACGTAGCAGTTATCTTCCTGTGTGTGCGCAGGCATACACATGAAACAAAAAAACAAACGAACACAAAAACACCTTAACTTGGTGCCATTACTAGGAACAAAGGGGAGAGAGAAAACTTAAACTTCCCTAGTGCTTTCAAGGCCAGAGGTCACCGGCCAGGGAACTGATGAAGGAAGGTCTGGGTGGTAAGGAGGGTGCTGGGAGAGGCCAGACAGCTGGGGGCTGCTTCAGCAAACCGGTCAAGGGCACCTCAACATGGAGATCTTCATCATTCACCTCAGTCAGGGTTGAAAAGAAACCCAAGAGGGCGCCGCCACCTGGACCAAAAGTCTATTCCAGGAAGACATGTTCAAGAGTTGCTTTTACAATAAGACACACACAACATACATATGTACACACTTCCTTCAGTGTTTATGTAAAACTTACCTAACCTAAGATGTCCTGTCAAAAAGGGAAATTTGGGATGTATTGTATGTTAAAATTTTTCATTGTAACCACAGACATACAGGTGACATAGATATATTTTTAAGAAATCAGAGTACATGGTCAGAATAACAGTCTATTTACTACTGTGTTCTGAAAAACAGTTACAATCCAACTATTCAAAAACCGTTCTTGAGTCGATCTGCTTGTAGGAGACTGCTGGTTGCCAGGCACATAAGAGAACTTCACACTAGTCACCTGGCCCAGGAACTGTAGCAACAGCTACCTCACAGGGCTCCTACCTACCATGCTCCGCCCCTCCCATCTGTCCTGTAGGTTGTGTGGGATACACACTGTCCTGAAATACCTTCCTAATCACCGTGCCTGCTGCTCTATTACAGGATAAAGACCATACTTAACCTTCCATTCTGAACTTGCCACAGCGTGGCCACAACTTTCCTTTCTAGCTTTATTGTCCATTTTTTTAATCCCTTTTCCAATCACGGAATATCATCCTTAGCTTCAGTCTGAATGATTACGTTGGACATCCATTCACTCCTACACCAGTAATGGTCAGGAAGCCAAGTCATGGAAAGACTGACAAACCAGAGTGTCTCAACCTCAGCACTATTGATGATTGGGGCTGGAACCATAATTCTCGGATGGGGCCATGGGGTGGGCTGGAAGGGACGTGCAGGGGGCGGGGGCTGTCTTGTAGGATGCCCTGTCAGCATCTCCAGCCTCTACCAACTGAATGAATGCCAGTAGGAAACCCCAGCTGTGACAACCACATATGTGTCCTGACTTTGTCAGAAGTTCCTTGGAGAGCAAACACCCCTGGTTGAGAACCACTTGACTTAACTAATCCGATTCATTCCTTGAGATGGGATGAGGTGACCTCCCTTGAGCCATGTAGACTGAATGCAGGAGAGACAGAGACCTGACCAAAAGCAAAGGTTCCTTAGGAAAGAGGAAAAAGAAGTAGGCAATATCCTTATCTTCATGATATTTATAGTCTGGGTGAGGGGGCGGAAAACATGGAAGCCAAAATGACGGCGCAGCGTGATGCGGGCAACTGTCCGGCTCTGCACGTGGCACGCCGTGAGCGCCAAGGCTCCTTTCTAAATCGGACGCGCGATTCAAAGGCAGTTTCCTAAAGGAGGTGATGCTTAAACTAATTTTGTGGAGAATGAACAGAAGTCAGAAAATTGAGGAAAAGGGAAAGAGACATTCTGGGCGAAGGCAGGGACAGATCACGAGTCCCCGATGGGTGTGCCGTAGCGCATCAGAGGATATGGCGAAAAGGAGAGGATGCGCACTCCGTTAGATACAGGCTTCTCCTTCACGCCCCCTAACACATTTTGTTCTCACATGTGTCTTCACATGTCCAGCTACATCTCAAATATATATTCCTACAGTTGCATTTCTTCCCAGTCAGTGTCGCTGTTGGGAGTGACAAGTTCCACGAGTGAGTTCCAGGTGAAAGGTTCGTCTAAAAGTGGTTAGATCCAGGTCTGTGTGACCCTGGACAAGTTAGTTAACCTTTTATTCTCAGTTTCTTCAGTGGCTTTTTTCCATGGTACCAGAGTGCCATGTTATGTAAAAATATGGACAGTATTCGGTATTTTAGTTAGTGTTACATAAATGGCAGCAAGAGATGCCATGGTCCTTTACAGAATAGAACTTGTAGGGCAGACCATCATCTGTGCTGCCTCTCCTCTAGCCTCCTCCGTGGTCCCTCTTCGGTCAGTCTGACTGAGGTGCAGCTTTGCACTGAGTCACTCTGCTGTGCGACTCGTGGGCCTCTTCACCTGCTATTCCTGCTGCCAGACGCTCCTTTGCCCTTCAGTGTGTTCTCTCTCCCTAACTCTTTATAAATTTCAGTTATGTATCACTTCCTATAGGAAACTCTCTTTGAACCGCTGGTCTGATTTTTGGAAGAATCCTTGTGCTCACAATGCGCCCTGTGCAGGACTCCACAGTTGTCCTTACCACACTGCACTGTAACTCTGGCTTTATTTTTCTGTCTTCACCACCAGATTGTAAATTCCACGAAGTAGCAGATTGTAGTAGACTCTATTGGTTACCTGCCAAACACGCATTGTCTCTTTCCTCCTACTCTTTCTTAATTAAACCCTGACTTTGTCTTGATCTCCATCCTTCCCTATATAATCCAAAAGTCCCACGGTGAGTGACCCCAAAAAGTAGGTTCTCATTATTTTATCCAGACAGTGTGTTGAACTGTTTGGCTCTGATAAGGGGCTAGAGATGAGCATGTAACCTAAGTTCAACCAATCAGACTGAAGGGAAATAATTTTATCACATGCCTGAGCTAAGAAATTGAATTCTATACTTAAAGCAACACAGAACTGTTGAAGAGATTTAACCTGAAAGTGATTTTTTTTTCCTAGAAAGATTATTCTTAGTGCAATTTGGAGGATGGATTGGGGAGGAGAGAGGGGGCAGAATTGAGGGAGTGAGACAGATCATTAACAGACTTTTATAGTAATCCAGGTGAGTAAATAAAAATGGCCCCAAATAAGGTAGAGACCATTGTACCGGAGAGGAGGGAAGGGGTCAAGTTACATCAAGGAGCTAGAATTGCAAGACTCAGTAGGGGCTTGATAGAGTACTGGTGATGAGCTGGAGAAAAAAGTCTGCTTCAGTAACGTAGGTCTTTCCTGAAACAGAAAACACATAAAGAACAGTGGATTTGGGAGAAGGGGTAATAATAAGTTTAGTTTTATATCTGTTGAGTGTAAAACTCACATACTCAGTATTTTAACAGTGAGCCCCGAGTAATTTTCTTATCACCATTTCCCTTTTCCTCCTGCCTTCTTCCTATGATCCATTGGATTGTGTGTCCTCCAAAATTCATATGTTGACGTTCAAATCCCCAGTAGCTCAGAAGGTGACTGTATTTGGATAGAAGATCTTTAAAGAGGTAACTAAGGTCCAATAAGGTCATGAGGATGGGCCCTAATCTAATATGTCCCAATAAAAGAGGCAATGAGGACACAGGCACGCACAAGAGGCCAAGGGAAGACACAAGGAGAAGGTGGCCATCTATCCGCCAAGGAAAGAGGCCTCCGAAGACACCAGCTCGGATCTCCAGAACTGTAAGACCGTGCATTTCGGTTGTTTAAATCTCCCAGTCTGTGTTACTTTGTTATGGCAGACTAGCAAACTAATATACCTCCCTTACACCAAACATTCAGAAGACTACAGACTTGGTAATGTTTCTGTTGGCCATGGGTGTCAGGATATAGTAAAACGGAAAATCCAAGAAAGAGCCTGAAGCTACGTCCACCAACATAGGCCAGAAGTAATGTGTCCACCAAGGGCAAGGCTTTGTCCAAATCCAGAGAGTCACATTAAATGTATGGATGGAAGCTGCGGTCATGGAGGCTCATCTGAAACTCAAGGCTCATGGTTCTCAGAACAGCATTCCAAAACACGTAAGGAAACCTACTTACAATCAGCCCTGTCCCCTTGGAGGTTTCCAGATGTATTTACTCAGCTGCTGAAGGCAGCACAGATGAGAGGATTCTCCACGTCACCACTGAGAAACCCACACTGAGAACAGGTTCAGGAAAGTGCCTTCATATTTGAGAATTCCGTGACAGGCAGGAGCACAAAACAGCAAGAACTGAGCCACTGACTGGGGGCACTGGCCATGAAAGGAAGACAGATCACTGTAAATTTAGCAGAATGTGAAACCTGAGTGTAAAAATGAATACAAGGTGACTTGTCACCTGTATCACTCTATAAAACATAATGATGAACTTAGCATTTAAAAGATAATGAAGGACAAATGTAAGGGGTAAAAACTTTCAGAAATCATGGTGCTCTCAACTTTGTATTTTGTCCAACATCTGGAAATAATTAAAAATCCCTGGAAAAGTCAAGCTAGGGCCCCTGGAGGTGGAGAGCAAGCTAGCTGTTGCAGAAACAGAGATAAATGGAAAGAATGTCTCCGAGGAAGATTTATCCAGAATATCCACGCAAAACAGACCATATGAAACACATTTAAAAATTAGCCTCTGCTTGCCTTAAAACTGATCTGATTGGTGATACAAAACTTTAAAAATAATACTGGTGGTTAATGCTTTCCAAAAAAGTAAAAGGAAATTATTTTCAAATCCCAGTGTGTGTGTGCCTGTGTGTGTTAGCTAATTAGCCTTAAAAAATAATTTTTTTCCTATGGGGAACTCGGAATTTTTCAGTTGATTAAAGTAATCACTGGATATTCTCCATAACACTGAGGAAGGCAAAAATGTGTTCTAAGAAGCTGACGAAGTATCAGCCATTCTGCTATATGAAGATAGCACTTATTATTCAAGAGATGGAGTAACGAAAGGGTCTCTGAACTTAAACATCCCTTGATACTGTGTTGTGGTTAAAACAAAATGTTATACATCTAATTTTACAGTGTATTCGAGAATCTTGACTGGGGAAACTTCGGTCCCATCGCAGTGGTGTTTGTCATTCTCAGATGTTAGGGTTCCGTAGGTCCTGAGATATCCAGGGTTATAGTTTGGGGCACCTTCACTTAGGCGCCTTCCTCACCTGACCGCTCGTCTCACCTGACCAGTCAGGGGACAGTAGACATGGGAGGAGGCTGACCGAAGAGAGACACAGCTGGGTGGCAGACAGAAGACTGTTTGTCTTTAGAATGACGTTCTTCCTTTCAGAAGTTCGGGGCAATTTACTTCTTGTCTTTGTGAACATACTCCAGAAGGTAAATCTTTGCCAGAAACTTTAGACGTAGATGATGTGGTTACCTGAAATTCATGAAAGTATACATGAAAGAATAATGAAGGTGTGTGGGTTTAACCATAGTAATTTCACGCATGTTTGTTGTACTTTATTTTTAACTTGTGAAAGTATTTGTTTTTATTTAAATGAATGAATAAATAAGCAAACAAATCAACGACTGTTATTAGCTACAAGACTCCGATGAAAAAATGGAGTAGGGATCTCACTGATTGGACGACCTAAACCATCACTAGACTGTACTCAATTCTACCCACATCCCTCAATTTCCCAGAAGCAGCATTTGAAACTAGCATTCCCTGCGTGCAGGCAGTTAGGTTATATAGTCTGTTAACAGTTCTGTGACACCAGTGTCTTCACCTAAAAGACGGAAAACTGAGGGGGAAGAGGTCCAGGCACCCCTTGGTGAACTCCGTGTGAACAGTGGGGCGGCACCTTCAGCATCTGGGCTCTTCCCCCCCAGGCTCTTGTTCCGCCCCTGCTGTGCCTTGAGGGCTAGAAGTATCCCAGTGGACGCTGCTTAGTCCTTTACTTCCCAACTCCCTTTAAGGTCTTGGCCTTACTCTCTGGCATCTCCTTAGACTTTTTCACAGGCTCGTCTTCTGTCTTCTACCCCATAAATTCTAGAAATTTATAGGAATAAGATTCTGCAGGAATTGTTCTGCAGGCAAAATGATTTGTAAAAATGGCAGCTAAGCTATCCCTAAAACAGCTTGTAATTCTTTGAGATGATTAATTTACGGTTTTGAATGACACCATGTGCCAATTATTTCACTAAACACTGATAATGACATATTGTCAGAAAACAAAACTGCAAAACCAAGGTCTCCCCCCCAACACACATTCATTTACACATCTATCGCTGCAGTTCCTTGTCAAGGTGCACGGATTTCATAGGTTCAGGTTTAACTGGTTTTGGTGTTGCATGTGGCCCTGACATTCTAAATTAAAATTCTTAAGAATTCTTAAAAAAAATCTTTTTAACACCTCGCTGAAGTTAAAAAGCGTGTCTTAATCATTTCTTAAAAACAGTGAAGTTTTATTTTTTGCTGATCTCAAAGGCATCATAATACTACAGTGCGAATTTGACTCTGTGATTGGGAAGACTCAGGAGACTTTCCTAAGGATTCTGAGAGTGAGCACTTGGAGAAGCTGAAATCAGGACAGTTCCAAGAAAAGCTGCCAGGTTCTCATTTGCATGGATTTGCCTCATTTTACACCAAAAAGCCAGTGCCTTAAAGCACCCAGCTGTAATCCCTTAACTACGCCGCCCGCCAGAAGAGTTGGAAGTGTGAAATCTTCGGGTCTGACCATCAGGAACACGAGGGCGGAGGGTGGGGCCAGGCGGCTCTCTGTTATCCATCTCGAGTTGCCTCCCACAGACTGAGCCCGCCCAGGAAGAACATCTGACACCTCCCTTGGAAGGTGTCCCTCCCCCCAGAGGGAGAGAGCATTGTCTCTCCCACTCTTACCCTTCTCATCTCCGTGGAGTTCTGTTGCTCCCTCCACACAAACTGGAGTTCAAATTAGCAATCCATTGAATTTCTCCTCCCTGGAGGTTGGTGACCTTCCAACTCTAATGGGAGAGAGGGGCCAAAGGCCCAGGAAATGGGTGGGTGAGCGCCTTCTTCTTGGAAGAGCTTGACAAGGGGGGAAATTTTTTTTGTCATAAATTAGATGGGTGCTAATTCTTCACTGGTTGCTAAGTTTAGAAACTTCTTGGTTTCTTGGTCAACGAATCTTCTATTTTCAGTTTTGCAGTTTTAAATGTCCTTAATTATTTTGTCTACTTTTCATAAGTTGCAATTTCCTTTAACATCTCCCCCACCCCAGGAATTTAAGGACACACACGAACAGAACCTCAATTTGTGTTGTGTAAACACGTCCTTATCTCCAGGAATCCAAGCAGTCAAGATTTTTGATACTTCCGTTGAGGTAAGCTAAACAGAGGTTAGACAGAACTGTGTTTTTGGAACATATATGAGGAAAGACTTCAGCTTTTCAAAGTCTAGCTTTAGGTTTTAAAGTCTAGCTTCAGCACACTTTTGGTAATTTTCACGAAATGTGCGGCAAATTAGAAAAAGAAATGTGTTTATTAAAGCACTCCCTGAAAAATCTATGTCTACAGGTAGTTAGTTCACTGGCAACTCTTGCAGGAATCCCTGTCGCCAGCACAGACCTACTGTCCTTTGTGTAAGTGTCCCTGGCATGTCTCTCCTGAATCGCTCTCTTCATAAACTCACCTTGTCCTAAAATACACTAGGCACCTCCCTTGGAAGGCTGGGAATATCTTTTGCTCTGTGCTTATGCAAATGGTCACACTTCCACATACTCACTCACACAAAGTGAGAACCTTTCTTAACTTGGTCTTCCAATCAGTCCCCAGTTGGTGTTAATCCTTTACCTTCAACAAGGTCTTTAATTACCTGCCATGTGACACTTCCTGGATGGCCCTAGTTATTCCTCATAACACCATTCACTTGACTCAATGTTTATTGAGTATTTGCTTACTATGTTCAAGGCAGAGTGCTGAACACTGGATTTAGAGCAGTACAGAAGAAAAACCTAGAATTAAGTTCCTATCCTAACAGAACTTAATCCTACAATTACATTAACAAATTCAAGATACAAGTAAACACCTTAGTAAGCCAGGCACTTTCAGATAATCAAGGTGTTTTTAAAAAGTGATGTGGCAAAGAGTGGCTAGGGGCCAGGTGAGGGAAGGGGTATTCAGAGAAGGTCTCTGTGAGTTGACACTTGAGCTAAGACCTGAATAATGAGTTGGAGCCAGCAATTGAAATGCGGGGCATAGGCCTTCCTATCGAAAAGGGGAAAGCAAGTGCAAAGGTCCTGAGGCATGAATCGTGGGGGTAGTCAAGGGATAGGAACAGTGTGATCGAAATAATGTGGCTGGAGTGTAATGAGCATGAGAAAAGAGTAATAAAGATGAACTCAGACGTTGTGAGACTTTCATTGTTTGTTTTACTTCTCACCAGACTTTGGGGACCATTCTTTTGGTTTTTAAATCCCTGGTGTCTGACACAGAACCTGGCACTAAGTAGCTAAAATATTGGTTTAATGTACAAATAGCAAAGAACACATGTTTTTCTTCAAAAATAAAGTATGACGTGGCTAAATTGATTCAAGATAATGAAGTTTTGCTAAATGTTTAACAAATCACTAATATTCAAATTTGAAGATGCACAGAATGTGTGGAGAATTACAAAAGCAAACTATAGTTTTACTCTTTGGGCTGTAAAGGCAGCTTCTTAACTTTAACTTTGGAATGCACTTGAAGTACTAGAATTATTTTTTTCTCATCCTTAACCACACCAAGCTCAAGTTTGATGTAGTGCCAAAGTTGAAATGAAGTTGATGCTAATTTGACTAGACTTCAGGAAGAATGAATAATGAATTATTTCCAATCCCCTCTCCCTAGATAAGCAAGAGAGAAAAATACTATAGCTTGATATGAATGAGGTGTTTATTTGTTTTTTGCAAATTCTGATGCTCATTCATGGAACCTTTATTTCTCCCAGAAGAGAAACATTTAAAATAGAAAATTTTGATTTCACCCAAAGAACAAAAAGTGTTCAAACTTATTTTTTTCATTCATGCTAGTATGTTTAATTTTTTCCCCTATAGCCTTTAAGAGAAAAGCACTAGTACATCATTTAGACATAATGAAATGATGCAGGACATGTTTAAGTACTATGAAAAGACACATGAGTGGCAGGAGGAAGGAGTGAAAGGAACAGGCAGGTATTGAGCTGACGTGTGTGGAGAGGTACTGTGTTAAGCATGTTCCCCTATGTGATCTCCCTTAAAAGTCATGAAATACTTGGAGTTAGGTATTCTTTAACTCATTTAACTCATAGCAGGTCCGGGATTACTGAGTCAATAATTTGCCTTATATCACAGGTTACTAAAGGGTGGAGACAGGGTTGGAAAGCAGGATTGAGTGACTGAAGGCTTTGTACTCTCCTACATGTACATATGAAAATGTGCCTATGCATGAACAGTCAAACATATCTATTTTAATATACCATATGTGTGTGTGTGTATATATATATATATATATATATATATATATATAGCAATAGAAAATGTAGAAGCAGAATTTTCTGGTGCCATCAAAATTTAGTATTTCCCTGTCCTTCTGATATCAACCAAAAATCATACCGAAGTCCCTAAGAACATGCTGCATGCTTCGATTTCAGCTAAAAAATTGAAGCAAAGGGACTTTGATTACAGAATAATTTAAAAAAATATGTCTGCTGTTAAAATTATGTAGCTGACAGGTTGTTATGAGTATCACCATAAAATAATGCCATAGGAAACATTTTACAGCAAATGGAATTATTAGGAATCCCATGATCCCTGAGAAGAGGAAGTTCCTCCAAATCCCTTCTAGATACAACCCTCTAGAATCCTGTGGCTTTAAAGCTTGAAATGGAACTATTATATACAAATATCCAAGTGAAGTCTTCTGCTTAAATGAATGCATTTCTTTAGTTGCTGTCCAACTGTGATGAACTGTAAAATTATTATCTCAGTCACACTCTGGGTGCTCAAGGGTCTCACTTTTGCACACCTGATAAATGATCAGAGGTGACCAAATGTAAGGTTTCATTGTTAGTTCTTCAGTAGTTTTGAAATATAATTCTGTTGTCCTTTTTGTTAGTGCTTGCTTCACTAAATTTTAGAAGTGACTCTGAGATTTTCATCTTTAATATGCGAAGCTTTTAAAAAGGGGCAGTTACATTTCCACCTAAGAAACATTCCAGTTTCTGAATGTCTGGGGGTTCAGCTGCAATGAGCAAATCATCATCTGGGGGGGTGGGGGAGGGAGGCAGCAGGTAGGTAGATTTTCCATCAAGTCATAACTACAACTGCTTTAGAAATAACACCTGGAAGATGGTATTTTCTTGAACTGTTCTTTTTCATGAATCTTCCTTACTGCAGACTATTAATCATAGAGGTTTAATATAAATGATGAGGAGTTTCATGGCATGATAGTTTGGGATTAAGTAACGTTATCTTGTTACTAATGGTTACTGCTGCTTAGTTTCTCTTAAATAGCAGATGATGATATTCAGATATCTATTTTAGATTCCATGTTTATCTGTATTCACCTAAAGTCAGCATAGTAGTGATAGCTCCAGAAGTTTACTATATATAAACACACTTTCTTTCAACAATTAAGTATATTTATACATCACCTACATGACAGTAAAGTGTGCAAGTTATAGTACATATAACTTCCATTCAGTTTTCTGAGTCTTTACTTATTTAAAAAAATTTTTAAAGAAATCACCATGTACCCAGCATAGTGTGTACTATGCTCTTAGATGAATCCTTTGCTCAAGGAAATTGCAATCCAGGGGAGAGACAGAATTATAAGCATGAGAGACTTCCACCAAGGTGGAGGCATAGGTGGAAACATTGTACCTTCTCGCACAACCAAGTCTAAAAACAACAAAGTTTTAGAAACAAAATATGCAGCGAAGCCACAGAAAATTGAACAAGACCAGAGTCTGACAACAAGGAACCACTCAGCCAGACCGGTAAGAGGGGTGGAGCCAGCAGCAGAGCAGGTCAGGCAAAAAAGATCCCCCGACCCAGGCACGCAGGCAGCCAAGGGAGGATCCCAGGTGTGGGGTAGAGACGGGTGGACCCAGTGAAGGCTCAAGGCAGCAGGCTGACCGCGGTCACACATTTGCACACAGATAAACCAGCAAAGGAGTGAGCAGTGAGACAGACCAGGCAGGCCCCAGCAGTGGGAAGGAGCAGAGGGGACCACTATTGCTCCCTCTCTGACCCCACCCCCACATACAGCATCACAACCCAGTGACCTCGGTGGCCCCACCCTGGTGAACACCTAAGGCTCTGCCCCTCATACGTAACAGGCAGGAACAGATCAAAACATGGCTCAAGAAGAACTCAGAGCCTTAGAGCCCCAGAGCCGATAAATCTAAGCAAACAAGAAATTGCCAACCTATCAGAGGCACAGTTCAAAACACTGGTGATCAGGATGCTCACAGAACTGGTTGATTTTAGCCACAAATTAGAGGAACATATGAAGGCTAAACTAATTGAAATGAAGGGAAATGCACAGGAAACCAATAATGATGGAAAGGAAACTGGGACTCAAATCAAGGGAGTGGACCAGAAGGAACAAAAAAATGACCAAACAGAAAAGTATGAAGAAATAAGAATTCAAAAAAATGAGGGGAGGCTTAGGAACCTCCAGGACATCTTTAAACATTCCAACATTCGAATTATAGGGGTACCAGAAGGGGAAGAGGAACGGCCACAAGTGGAACACTTATTTGAACAAGTAATAAAGGAGAACTTCCCCAATCTGGCAAAGGAAATAGACTTTCAGGAAATCCAGGAAGCACAGAGAGTCCCAAAGAAGTTGGACCCAAGAAGGAACATACCAAGGCACATCATAATTATATTAGCCAAGATTAAAATGAAAGAGAGAATCCTAGAAGCAGAAAGAGATAAGGGGACAGTCACCTACAAAGGACTTCCCATCAGACTGTCAGCAGATTTCTCAAAAGAGACCTT